GGCCGAGAGGCAACCACACATTGGTATGTATATTAATAAGATACCGCACATATATACACGTAAAGAAATGCAACAGGGACTCATGATAGGTAAGTAGAAATATCTGTATGTGTACACAGATAAAAGGAAAAAGACTCGAAAACTGCCGTGGCCACGTGAGGTAAGTGAGTCACCCCCACAAAAGCAGACTGTGTTCAATATAAATTCTGGTTCGTGCAAATTGAACTATATAAATTCATTGAAAGTGGACACACAACGTAGATCTCCTGTGCATGTGCCCTGAATCAACTTGGACATGAGAATCGGAAGCCTCAAATGTCCAAAAAATGGCTTGAATCTTCTCACACTCACTTCGCGTCTCGGCCAAGATCTGCCAAGATGGCCCCTTTTAGCATCGCTACCTTCCCCGATGACACCTTGCATGAGGAATGCTTCTTCAAATGCTGTTCCCAGCACCAATGCAAGCAATGGAGCAGCGCGCGGGAAGGGGGCACCCAGCCACGTTTCAATTGACCAAACGACCTTGCACAGGAGGACTTTTCATTGGGTCCTGTGGGGTACCGAGCCTGGTAGCAATTTATGGTATAGTGCAGCCCAATTCCGCAGCCCAAAATGTTCGGGATGTCCGCCAATCCAACTTGCTCAAGAAAAGCAAAATGAGGAAGAAGTCGGAAACTCCCTGCTGGAGTAACACCCACGGAACAATCCTTGGAGTCAGTAGAGCTGCCAGCACTGATCATTGGTCCTTCAGACACAAAGACAATGTCACTGGAGTCAAAGTTGCAAACCACCGCCTCGTCATCGGAAGCATTTGATTGGTTCTGATCACCTGCATCGAGCCCAACAAGATCCTGGTCACAGTCATTCAACTCGTGATCTTCAGGGAGGTTTTCCTCAAGCTCTGCTTCTGCAGCTTCAAACCCGTCAGACATGTTTGCCACCATGGCCAGCTCCATGTCCACATTATCCTCTGCTGGGTCGACCTGATCTTCCTGGCCCTCGCACTTGTCACCGTCACACTTGCCACCTGATCACAAAAGCCCGAGCATGCAATATATGCAGTTAGCAGTTTGGGCGTTCTGCTTACTGGACCCTAGAATCAGCCCTGAAAAAAAATTTACTGAAGTGAAGGCAGTGAAGGTGATCCTTTTCTGAAAGGAAGCAAGAACTGTCAGCCCTGACTTTTCATGGAAAATTGAGGCTTTCTCCCACCCCAATGCACTCCAAGCCTTGCTCGTGTCCCTTCATCTTCCCCCGCTTCTTCTCCTCCTCTGTCCTGTTTTTGTCATCCACCTGGTTGATGGCTCCGCTGGAATTCAATGACAAAGAGGACAAATGAATCCGGATCTCCTGCACATTGGCTGATTTGCCAGTAACCGAGATCACACGAAGATGCCGTACTTCTGGGCTACCCTCGGTTCCCAACTTCTCCAAGCTCATGTCAGAGACATTGAGTCTGTAGGCCTCAACCTTGCTTGAAGGTGAGACCTTGCAGGTCCCGTTCTCCACAGAGCAGCAGCGTCGGTAGACCTCCTCTGATGCTTCTTTGCCGCTTCCCTTCATCATCAACACCACGCTTGCTGCACCTTGCCCCTGTTGAATAGCAGTGAACTTGTTCAGAGCGTTCTTTGTCTTCTTGTCCGACTCACCAAATGTGTCAAGACGGAACTTGTAAAATGCCTCAGCGTCCTGGACTTGTGTCTTGTACTCTGCAAGTCTTTTGTTCAGCAAAGTCTGCCAATGTGCGGGAAGGACTCTCCAATCTGACTTGGCCTCCCACGATTTAGCAGTGTCCTCTCCTTCAGACTCTTCTGCCCCAAAGGAGATTTGCCACAAAAAGACTGTCCTCATGATGGATGGTGACTCAAACACCTCGTCCATTGGCGCTGCCCAAGCATCCATGTCCGCTTGAGTTTCACATTTCTCCAGCTCAGCGTCTAGCTCTTCCACCGAGAAATTTGGCACATCGGGGTTCACATCCAGCATCTCCTGCTTGTTGCTCAAGCCCCTGCTAATCCATGCCCACCTGACAAAGACATTGGGATGCTCCCACCCCCATCCCCTCAAATAAGTGAGTGACTCCAGCTTTTATGTTCGGATATATAGACTTTTTGTAAAACTATATCCCCTGCACTTTGCAGATATTGGGCGCTGCTTACTGGGGATCCTAGTTTCAACCAACTATTGGAGCCGAGCCACCTCAACAGTTTTCTTTTCCTTGCCAACCTCTTCCAGGCATATACACAGGACATCATAGAGTCCTGGTGAGTGATCTGGCACTGGGGGTTGCCATTCGATAGCAATACTGGAACCTTCGTGGCCTGCTCAAGAAGATCTGACCTGTATCCAAGGCATGTTTCGCTATACTCTGCAATATACTTGCGAAATGCCTGGTGAACGGCATCGCAGGGCTGTCCCCGTGCCGACCAGCCCCCTGGTTGCCGCACCGGCAAGATTATCCGGGAGTTCTTGGCAAAATGTTCTCCTTAGATTGTCAATGTATAGCTTCTCCAATGGAAAATGCACATGCAGTATATGGGTACGGTACATTGCTTATTCTAATTTGTGGAACAAATTTCAGGCTTATGTATGCATTGCAGTTAGCAGGTGCACAATTTGCTTACTGGCGGGTAGGTATGTAGGTGCAACCTCAAAAGTGTAAATCATGTATGCCGTTCAGCTGCGAAGAACGTCGCTGCCGCTGTTGAGTCCGTGATGGCCAGTAAATCCATCGCAGACTATCGTGCCCCACTCTTCCTGAAAGTCCTTGTCATAGCGAGCGGAGAGCTCTGTTCTACGCTTCTCAAAGGCGTGCGCCAACACCTCATCGTAGTACTCAATAACCAGCTCACTGTTCATGAAGTGCGAAGGTCGGTTGGTGCACAAAATGTGCACATCGGGACACTTGTTCTTGAACTCTTGGATCTGAGCTGACGTCATGAAATTCTGAGGAAGGACCAAGGTGAGTGGACCCACTTCGCCGGAACCCCACAGCGATGTAACGACAGTAATAGCGTGACGAGCCTGCGACACACAGTCTGCCCTTGCATCCTTTCCTTGAGGGGCAAAAGAGATCAGTGGATACCCACTTGACAAAGTATCTGCATAATATATATATATATTAAACTTATATATATATATATGTATGTATGTATGTATGTATGTATATATATATGCATATATGCAAAACAATTGTGACAATGAAAAGTCCCCCAATCCAGTCCTGTGATCCTACGCTTCTTGATCTTCCATTCAGTGCTCTCAGTTTGCATGCTGTGCAACAGATGACCGACTGCCTCCCTGCGGCCTTTGAGAAGTCGGAGAGGGCAGTTCACGTCCCAAGATCTCAACCAGACCTTTGCTGGTGCACTCCAAGACTGCTTCCAAATTTGGTCGAAATTCAGCACCATGTCTTGTCTGATGGAGTTCTCCATCCTGCAGGCCAAGGTGCTTTGTTGGAATCAGTGTTTGCAGTTAACAGGAACCCCAGTCTGCTTACTACACCTGTCGTTTGTGTGAATGGTTGCCCCACACTTTCCATTTCCAAAATCCCCCGTCCCCCGTCCAAGGCCTCATTGCATCGTAGGTTTTTCTCGATCGAATCATTCTTTGGTCTTCATAATCCAAATAACTGCCATACGTATTGGGTTTTCTGCTCCGCCACCCATAAAGGTCCATGAAGCGTCTTGTCCACTTCGTGCTGATGCTTTTCTTGACGTCTGGCTCCGGCAGCCCGGCCTCCTGGCAAGCTTGCTTCTTGGACTCTGACCAGATTGCAAGTAATTTTTCACCTTCCTTCTGAATAGTTTTTGGTTCCAGAGTGCCCGAAGTCATTGGGCCTTCCCCACAGGTCACTCTGTTGATCATATCTACCAAGCGCTCTTGTACCTCCGCAGGCACGTTCTTCCCCTCTTTGAACCGGGCAAGAGAGCGAGGAGCCAAGCCGATGCTGACTCGCAACCAATCAGGCAACTCTTTGCAGCCGCGGTCCGCTGTTGAAAGTTTTTCCCATGGCACCTTCCGCCATTGCTGCTCATCCGCTTGAGTCATCCACCGTCCAAGCATGCCTGTTTTTTGTCGTTTCTTTCCCTTTGCGCTCACAAAGAAATGAGGATAGGCATCCATGACCCGCTTCTCAATTCCATGTCGCACCCCTGCCTCGATGAGGCGATCTGCCTCTCTCACCGCCAACATCTTTTGATAGATGCTCAAGCGCTGCCTCGGACCTTGGTTTTTGCCTCCACCCTTGCCACCACCATGTTCGGAGTCTTCATCATCCTGCCACGGGTATAGGCTTTAGGACAACCCTGCCCCGGTAAGCAGTTTCCACCCATCTGCTTACTGCATCTACCTTCAAGCTGTCATATACCGTGAACGCTTTAAAAGCAGGATGGCATGATAATGTGTTAAGTGTAAATAGATATACATGCGCACCAGGATTTGAAATCAAGGTGTCCTTCCAAAAAGTCCTTTATATGTATATGGTTAGTCTCCCCAAAATGTTTTTTTTCCCAAAAATGGTGCACTCATCGCAATTCCATGGGGGGCCCGCTTCTAAATCTCCTTTAACCTCCAACCACACTCAAACCACAGGGATGTTAAACGTGTGTAGGGCTTTTTGAGCGCAGTCCATATACACACAGCGCGACGCACATCCAAGCTCCAAAATCGAGTGATGTCTTTGGATTCAATCCCAGTCAAAGTCCCACCCAGTGCTACTGCAGTAAGCAGATTGGTAATTTGGGTCATGGTTTTCCCAAAAGCACTGTTCCTTTTAAATGGACTAAAGCCCATATAACTGCATCCGTTTTCATCCGATTCTTTGATATGTCCATGAAAATCCTCATGTTTCATTCAATTTCCTTGTAAAAAATGACCTTTCACAACTTTTTTCCAAAAATCCTTAAATTTCAAGAAATGGCCTCAAAACTCTTGAAACCTCAAGGAAAGA